TACAATTGTTTAAAATGGATTCCATTATTTTTCAGGTAATTGGAGGATACTTGAATGGATTGAATTTGTCGCCCTTTTTAAATATAGATGTTAACGAATCAATTGTCCATATAAGACAGTGTGTCAGATTTAAAGGATGATGACATAACAAGGAATGGAGGTAAAGCCAAATAAGATAGGCATTTTTTTAAAAACATTGCGGATAAGTTGTCATTTCCGTGTTGGAAATTTGATTGAAATTTAATGAGATATTTATTAACAATTACAGATGAGAATTCGACATTATATAAAGAAGTTGCTGTTTGGGTACCATGACTAACTGGAATAGCGCCAGGGCGTTCTAAAACACTTGTGAAAAATTGTTGACGAGAGCTTTACCTGTTTTTTTTATCGTTGTAACATAAAGTTCCATCTGTTTTTTTTTAAGGAGGGGGCTGATACTTTAGACGATAGAAAGGATCTCGTGCATTTAAATAGTTTATCACTACTCTTCTTGCGTTATCAATAAAATTTCTTAAATTGCTGGAGAAACGTCTTTGGTTAACAAAATCAACATATCTTTTGATTTTTCATTTTTTTTATATTTTATTAAAGTTAAAAGTTGTCCATTGATCCAAAGTTGTAATTTTTTTTGAGAATGTACCTTATTTTTAACCGACTTCAAAAAAGGAGGGAGGTTATCAATTCGTCGCGATATTTTTTTTTTTTTTTTTTTTTTTTTTTATGTATGTTCAGCGATTATTCTTTAACACGGTGTCCGATTTCAATGATTCTTTTTTTGTTAGAAAGGGGGTATTTCAGGGGTGGTCCCATATAAATTTAGTCAAAATCTAATAATTGGGTCCATGAGAAAATCCTCAAACTCTTCATTTTTTATGTATGTTCAGCGATAATTTTTTAATACGGTGTCCGATTTCAATAATTCTTTTTTTGTTAGAAAGGGGCTACTTTAGTGGTGGTCCCATATAAATTTGGTCAAAATCTAATAATTGGAATAATGAGAAAATCCTCAAACTCTTCATTTTTTATGTATGTTTAGAGATAATGCTTTACCACCTTGTCCGATTTATACGATTTTTTTTTGTTAGTAAGGGGGTACCTCAGGGGTGGTCCCATATGAATTTGGCTAAGATGTGGTGATGGCATCTGCCCGGTTTTGAAGTCGGTTTTTTTGAATTTTTAATTCGTAATACTTGTTTGTATTAGCCTTCATAATTTAATAGTATCCACATATCTTCTACTAAACATTAATTTAAAAGAAAACATTTTAAGGTCGTCACCGGATTTTACAGAACACAAAATTTAGTATTCTTCCACCATGGAAGGAAATAATAGATTTTTGTTGACAGCCTTGTTAACAGACACATAATTTATAACGTTTGAATTAGCGTTTTATACTTCAATTTATTACCACTAAATTAAACTACAAAGGGAACTACAACGATTTATATTTTCCAAAAATAACGCATGCCGGTTTCGCTCGGAGTGAAGAAGACCTAGTACCAAATACAATATTCAAACTAAATGTTCATGAGTGCCAGCGCAGTTCGATTTTAATACGTCAAATAACTACGTTTCTTTTCCACAAGATAAAGCTACGGTTTGATAGAACAATGCGTGATGCTCGACGTTTACGTACCGAACCATTTCCACAGTATTAAAATTTTTTCGTTTCAGAGGATGTGTGCAGCGCTCAGTAGACCGTGAGTTTCGCGTCGCGTAGCTTAAAGCTCGATTTGTAATAATAAAAATAGTAAAAATTTAAACAATTTGTGTTCTGTCGCTTTGCTTTTCGACTCCTGCTTCTCGCTGTGCTTATCTTCTTCTGCTTTATCAATATGCCCACCTTTCCTGCCTGACGTTTTAATCTTTATCTGCTTTATTACTTTTTAAAATAATTAAGTAATATAAAGTATACCCTGATTCTTATTGTAATGGTACTCTAAATCAGTGCTCCGCAACCGGTGTGCCGCGGCACACTGGTGTGCCGTAAGCCGACTTGAGGTGTGCCGCTCTTGCAGACCATACGAATCAGATTCGTATTGTAGCGAGACCCGCGAAAAATAAAGCAATCTGACAACAGCGCCGATGGTAAACGTCTATCCGTCTATCGGCGCGGCGCGGCGGCTTGATTCTCGAAGGCGACTAAACTAGAAAGATCCGTGCCGTTCGAGGCGCGACTCGATGTTTTCCTGAACATCGCCACTGCCTATATAAGCGCGCCTGTCGTCGCTCAGAGACTCAGAGAGAGTCGAATAGTCAAGTGAATCAGATAAATACGCGGGCAAACAAATAAATCGTAGAGTGAAATAAATAGTGAATTGCTATATAAATAAATTCTTGTGCCTTATAAATAAGTGAACTGGACTAAGTTTTGTTGCAGTATCTACTTTTATAAATAACTATAGTGCTTCAAATATGGATAAATTTTTGCTGAAATCACGAGCAGATGACGAAGAACCTAGCACAAGCTCCAGCATAAGTGCTGCAAAAAGAGCAAAAAAGGTGCTGAAAAGGAAGTACAATCAAGACTACCTTCGATATGGTTTCACTTGGTGTGGCGACGAAGCGGCTCCAAAGCCTGAATGCGTCATTTGCGGTGAACAGTTGTCAAATGAAGCAATGGTACCCAGCAAACTAAACCGTCATTTGATCACAAATCATCCCAGTTGCGTCAAAAAAGACATTCAATTTTTCCAACGGCGCTTGGATCAAAATAAGAAACAAAAGCAGTTTATGAAATCGGCGGTTACGGTTTCTGAAAAGGCATTAGAAGCAAGCTACCTTGTTGCAAAATTAATTGCACAACAAAAAAAACCGCACACTATCGGTGAAACGCTTATTAAACCAGCATGCATGGAAATTGTTAGACTTATGCTTGGGCCAAACGAAGTTAAGGACGTGAGTAAAGTTTCTTTGTCGGCCGATACTGTTAAAAGACGTATCCAAGATATGTCAAGTGATATTTTGGGAACACTAATTAAAAAAATCATTTCGGCTGGAATTTTTGCGCTTCAAATCGACGAATCAACCGATATTAAAAATAAAGCACAACTGATGGCTATTGTACGTTTCGTTGACGAGGACTTTATTAAAGAACATTATTTATTTTGTAAGGAGGTTCCAGAGAGAACTACCGGTGAACAAATTTTCCAAGTAACTGATAATTTTTTTAAAATACATAATATTCAGTGGACCAATTGCGTTGCTATTTGTACAGATGGTGCTGCTGCAATGATGGGCAGTAAGAAAGGTTTTGTATCTTGTGTAAAACAAAAAAATCCGTCAATACAAATTACACATTGCTGCATACATCGAGAAGCATTGATGGTCAAAAATTTGCCCGAACAGCTTTCGATCACAATGAATGAATGTATTAAGATCATAAACATAATTAAATCGAGAGCCTTAAATTCGCGAATCTTTGGAATACTCTGTGAAGAAGTGGGAAGCGAACATGAATCCTTACTGTTTTATACAGAAGTTCGTTGGTTATCCCGGGGAAAAGTTTTAGCTCGACTGTTTGAACTTCGCTACGAAGTGCGTGAGTTTCTTTCAAGTCAAGATATGTACGATCTATGCCAGCACCTTCATGATGAATACTGGATAGCCAAACTTGCATACATGGCGGATATATTCGAACATCTGAATGAACTTAATAAAAAAATGCAAGGACGGAATGAAAATATATTGACGTGCTCCGATAAATTACAAGGGTTCAAAAAGAAACTTGAACTTTGGCAGGAACAGTTGCAAAAAGGATGTCTAGAAATGTATCACAGGACCAACCACAGTACGATCGAAAACAAGCAATTGATTGTGGATTTGGCCCAACAACATTTAAGTATGCTTCAACAAAAATTTGAATACTATTTCCATTCTATCAACACGGAACAATACAATTGGATTCGAAATCCTTTCGCAACCAATGCAATAAGTTCCACGGAAGCACTGCCATTGCAAACTCGAGAGGAGTTCACAGAATTAAGTAATGATATGACCCTAAAACTTAAATTCGACGAAGTTCCGTTAGATGTTTTCTGGATTTCCATCAAGACAGAATATCCACGCATCACCGACAAGGCCATCTTCACACTACTTCCGTTTTCCACAACATATTTATGTGAGCAAAGTTTTTCAACGCTTGTATTAATTAAAAATGATAAACGGTCATGCTTAAAAGATCTTGACCAAGAAATGAGAGTTGCGCTGTCTAAAATTGAGCCGAATATAAAACTTTTGTGTTCAACGAAGCAAGCGCAGGTATCACATTAATCAGTCATCATCATGTCAAAATATTTATTACTATTGACGTGTCAACAGAAGTAAATTTAGTATACCTACCTGTCCTACCTAGTATTTAGTATAGTTCTCATGTATGTACCTATTTGTATTTTTCATTCTATCTGAATAATAAAAAGAAATAAAAAAAAAATATGTATTATGTCCTGAGTGAAAATTTTGATGCCCCAAATCTGAAAGGGGCTTCTTCACATTTTAAAACAATAAAAAAAATTAAGGTAGTTTGGACATCCATAAATAATTAGTATACATGGAGTGAACTGACCCCCGACCTAGCTACGCCACTGCTATAAATATATTTTAGATTTTGGTGTGCCACGAAATTCTAGGGAGCAGTTTGGTGTGCCTCAGATGAGGAAAGGTTGCGGAGCACTGCTCTAAATAAAGACTAAGCCACTTAATGTTATTTCTAAAATAAGTTCTAACCGACAAATACAGTGATACAAGTCATGTCTATTGTCCATGATAACTAGGTACTCATGACTCTAATTTATAACCAAACTGACACTTAAAAAGAAGAAGAATCATACGTTGCGACACGCAAGATCTACTTTATAAAACATTTATTCTGGATCAATATTAGTAGTTCAAAAAATGATCTGGCTTGGTAAAATCATTGATGATTCCGCATAGTTTGATAATAATTTACGTCGGCATTTTTAAGTTGATCGTTATTCTTATTGTAATTTTAATTTCAGGAAAAAATCAGAAGTGCAATGAAGAAGAGGAGTTTGACTGTGAAGACGAGACCTGTATACATAAAACTTTAAAATGCAACCAAAAGTACAACTGCAGATTTAGATGGGACGAAGAGGACGAAAGTTGTATAGTAAGTTATATTTAAAGAATTTTAATTATCTTGACAATATTACAGAAAATGCACTTACAGATGAAAGATACATGTTAGACGTTAGGAATAATTGGAATGCGTAAAATAAGTCATCTAAGAAATGCATTGGCGGATTTTAAGAACATTGATATTAAAGTAGTTAGGATGAACCGAAAATTCTGAAAATCAATAGGGTTCTAAGTTAGAAGCCGACATACATACATACAGATGACCAGACGAAATTTTTTTTGCATTTTTGGACTCAGAATGATCGGAAACGTGAAAAAAAGTACAAGAAAAAAATGGGAGAAAGAAAATTTTTTCGTCTGGACAAATGCAATACTGAGGCCCCATAGGAAGAGCCACAGTAATAACGAAGTTAAAAAAAACGTATCTTAAGGAACACGCGCTTCGTCGTTTTTGTCTATCTGTTTATTCTGTACAATGTCTTCGTCTCTTGTTCTTTAGTTAGGTGATAAATTATAACTATACTTCAATATGTTTCTAAAAAAAATGTATTTAAATAAAGACCTGTGATTGAGTAGAAACAAAACAGGCCGAAATTCCTAGGTTAGATGCTCATTCAAACCTCTTAGAATAACTGTCTTTAAATAACTCTAACTTTACTATTAGATAATGTATTTTAATATTTAAACAAAATAAATTTGACAGTGAAAAATTTGATTACTAATTTTTTATAGTATTTCATAATCATTTATGCAAAATTCTATTTGTAATATTTTTATTATGATATAATTCAATGCCTGTTGCGGTATTTGCCAAAGGAGTAATTGTTTTCAGGAAGGAAACGGTGGTTCAAAATTTTTATGACACAGTCTTTAAGATTTTTACTTATTTTCCTTTATTTTAATTTTTCTTAATTATAAAGCTACTCTGAATGTTTTTATACTACAAACTATTCGCGATTCAAGCTAAGTGATACGCCCTCTGGAGGAAATTTGTAGAAGGTCCGTATAAGTAGGATATCGTTCAGTGTTGCCAGAAGTAGCAAAACTTCGCTACGTCGTCGGGTTTTAGCTTTTGAAGAAGTGGATGAGACCTTTTATTTAAAAATCAAAATTTGTGTGTGGTAATATGTAATCATACTCTATATTTATTTAAGGATTTTTTTATAAAACCGATTTATTATATTGATTTTTTTTAAATTTCAGTTCATTTATTAATTTTGTTTTAAAATCATTTGATCATTTGGCAACATTGGCGTTCGTGTTCATTGTTTACATTTTAATTTGTATCAATTACAATTCGAGTTTTTTCTTACTTTTTAGCTTTAAATTTGTTTATTTCTTATAGTATGTGATAGTGTTTATATTTAAAATGAAATCTGCGAAAACGTCTCCAGAAAATTGCAATCTATATGGTGTTAATGTCAAAATCAAAACTGAAGTATTCAATATTTTCCAAGTGCAAGTCGTAAAATTTTGTTTTTTACGATAAATGAATATCTACAAATTCACAATATTGAAATTTTACAAAACTTTGTTTAAAATCAAACTGTAATCTGATTTGTGACGGTTTTATTACCATTTACATGTATACAAAGTACTACATGATTCACTTCATAATATAAGAATAAGTCTAGTAAGATTTTTAAATAAGTTCATCAATAATAAACGTGTGGTACCTGAAATGTCCTTTAAACCACATAATAAAACATGCCCTGGGTTTAGTGAATACATATTTCTAGATGTTCTTGTAGCAACCAATAGGTGAATATTTCCAACAAATAAGTCATACACATGATAAATATTATATTTATGACGAACGCACGAGACTTAAACTTAAATTAACAATAAATGAAACTCAAAAACACTATTTTAATGAGAATATTATCTAAAAACAGTTAAAACAAATACAAATACAAAATCCGCCCAAAACAAAAACATGTAAATAAACAAACATCCTACTTATAAGTGACAAATGACAGGCGCGCGAAATTTGAATCGCCAATAGACTGTAAATAACTTCATTCTTATAAAATATATATTTCTGCTTACTATACGGAACGTCAAAAAACTTTAAATTGCGGAATTTGAGATTATAATTCCGAACATTCGAAAAGTTTGCAGTTTGACGCTTAAAACGTCAAGGTTGTATAACTCTTCTTTAGCCTCGTCGCCGATGCGACTCTGCGATCCGATTTAGCTGAAAATAGACTTTCCAGTAAAAATTCAATTAAACCGCTGCTAGCTGGCTGCTTGAGATTTTCGATAAACTTTCCTAATATTGTTAATTTCGTTGCACGTCAGGCTTTTGAAACAGCAATTAGTTGTGATTTTTGAAAGTTTGAAGCAGGAGAGTGTTCGTAATTGCCTATTATCGGCTTGTAAACGACAATTGACGATGATAGATAACTGTAATCTGTAGAAAGGTTTTAAGACAATTAGTATGGGAATAAGATAATAGAAAGTTATCGAAGAATTCAAATAGTAGCTGTTTTTAATAAAAGATTATGTAAGGAGATTTTAGAATTATTATATTATCGAAAGTGATGTAGTTTGACAATGTTGGCATTTTCTTTAATTTTACAATTAATTAAATCGAGTTGATATAAAGGAATATGACTTAAGTTTTCCTGGTTGAAAATTACCAAAATAAAAAACTTTTTAAACATAGCAAATGAAAATCTAATATTCTGATTTGTCGGTCACTCTTGTATTTTAATCTTTGTCCAGCTAGCGTTTGGTGTTTTATGTAACAATGTACTGTGATATGAAGCATTGTCTATTGTGATTAAGGATGGTTCATTAAGTTTTTTCAGTAACTGTTCTTCAAACCATTTTAAAAAATTATTATTATTCATTTCACCATGATAATCACTCAGCTTACTTTGTGACGCAAATATAGTCTCTGCACCTCAAATGAACCCATTTTCATTTCCAGCATTGAGTATAGTGTACCTATAAATAAAAATTTCAATTGAAGCATGTAGCAATATTCTAGTAATTATTTACGTACCTTTTACCATCAATTTTTGTGGTTTTTACACTTCTTTTATTTTTATCTTGCCAAGAACGGTTTATAGTCCCATTTTGAAAAATCCACGTCTCATCAATAAAAACAAATTGAAATAAACCTGTTTCCTTTTCTTTCATGTAATTTCTTAAAAATATAGCCCGTTTCACAGCAACATCGGAAAGTTCCATAAGCCCTCGCCTTGGATCATCTTTTTTCCATTTAAAACAAAATTCTTTTAATAAGGTGCATAAATGCGGTGTCCATTAAACAAGTCTGCAAACAAATATATAGGTATTTATAATTAGATGATATAAAATGAATAATCTACACTTACTAGCTTCATACATGTTGTAAATAATATCTTGAATTGTACTTGTATCTAGAGTTCTTGTATTAGTTACTTTCTCTGTACGAAAACGTTTTTTTGGAGGCGATTTCAAAACGACATGCTGTTTGAGAAATAGCCCTTACAGTGGACAAATTTAAGTGCTGCACGATACACGCTAAGAAATGAGATTTGTTTGATGTTTCTAGACAATAACAGTAAAAACTTACTTCTCTAATAACAGCAGTTAAAGGTAGTAAAAGACCATTATTATCGCGTTCTTGTTTAAAATACTGTATCAATGAAGCTATGAGCTCCTTATATCGTCTATTTAATTTCTTTGGCATTTTTAAACCCGTGAGGAAGACAACAACCATATTGTTCTTAAAAGAACAGTTTTTTATAACTAAAAATAATGACCAAATAACTAAAAATACTAACGAAACGTGTAACGTTTAAATTTGGCCTTATAGCGGTTTTTCATAAAAATAGGAATAAGCTAGTTTTTATCCGTGTTCAGTAATTATTTACTGGGTCCTTCTATACCCGCATTTAAACCACTGTGCTTTTGGATCGTTATGCGAACCACTGATTTTGTCCTCACCGTCGAAAGTGATTCAGGGGTTCTTCTGCGACACTCTGGGCGAGTTTGTGGCTGCCCTGTATTCAAGATGTCGGTCTAGCGTTTCCGCCCTGACGTTAATTGTGGGTATATCAGTTTGGGGTAGATAGGACCTCTATTTGAGTTTAGTTAGGCTATTTATTTGGTTTTAGAGGTTTATTTGGTTATTTTAGCCCTTTCTGTCAAGAATTTATTTCGTAATAGAGGGCGCTGATGGGACACCTATTTGTCACTAAGGTATGTTGGTATTACTGGTTTGGGAGATGTCAAGTGACGTTGTTCCGTCTTGCTGGAAATTTCGAGATTGATATTCCACACGTGGGTTTTGTTTGAAAGGTACTGTTTCGAAATTTATTGGAAGTCGTTTCAATCTATTTGGGATATTGCGAAGCAACCTTTTTGTTTTAAGTTACAACAGTGTGGATTTGGTAGTATTTTTTTTGGTGACCACATGTTGTAGGAGCTCTTAGGAGGATATATTTAACCACGTGTTGAATCTCATTGGTAAGTTTTCTTCTACGCAGTACTTAAAGTTATGATGTATTATTTCTTTTTGTAAGGCCTTCGTCTTTTATTTCAGTGCCCACATATATATATGTAGTCTTTCTGAATAAGCCGTTCACGAATTTGCCGTTCAATTTGATGTGGTGCATCGTTTTGTTCCTCCTTTTGCGGATTAAGAAAAAAGGGGTAAATATAGCTTTGATTTTAGTTAGAATGCTTACTTAGACCTAACCCTAAGTTATGGTTCTTTTGGTTGTATATATTTTCAGTATTTGGGATTGACTATTAGGGGTAATATTTTGAAATCTAAGGGTGTAATTTGCTTATTAAATGTAATTGTTGGGTAGAACTCGCTTCACGTGCCGTCTATCTTTTGCTTTGTAAATCTGAAGATTACCTACATAAATTAATAAGCTGAACTTAATTTAACTAGTAAATGTTGAGTAGTTATTACCTATTTCCATACCTCGCTTCACGAGAAGGCTTTGTAGGTACCTGGTTATTTAATTTTAACTTCTTTATTAACCAGGGATAAATAGTTATTTCTGTGTTTTATTTTACACGTTTTCTTTAGGGTTCTTGTGACGGGCTATCAATTCTTGCGAAAGCCAACACTTCTTGTTACGCCAGTAGTCCTTGTGAAGGGCCAGTAGTCCTTGTGAAGGGCCAAAACTTCTTGTGACGGGCTGACTAGCACATCTTGTGACCAGCTAGTACTCCTTGTGATCAGCTAGTAATCGTGTAACGGGCTAGCAACCTTCATGACAGGCAGATTGATTTGTATGCCGAAGTAGGACATCAACCGTTCACTAGAGCAGCTGGAAAGAAGTCACAGCGTACCGCAAGTTTTGCTATCTTATTTTTATATCACTATATTACTATTGATCTATTTTATTGGGGGTGTCATTAGTACGTATTTTAATCTAAACCTATTGTAAACGAGGTTTAGGGGTGTATGGTTTACAGTACATTTTTATTAAACCCGAAACACGTCACTAAGAGCTCTTCGTGGGGTATATTCTTAAGGGTAGTTAATATCTTTAATAAGTAACAGAGTTTTACATGTTTTTACCCCTAGCGTCCGTAAATAGTACACTATTATTTGTTTATTTGCTAAATACCTCATGTGTTACATTTTTACGATTACCCTTAGTTCCATTTAATGATTTTTAAGTTTAATATAGTGTTTTAGTTGTAAATATTACTCCCAGTGATACTGGATTACTGTTAATAGTTGGGGAATCTGATAGTAATGTACTAAGTGATGTAGTTGTTATTAATTTGGTAAATATTAGTATATTTCATAGTGTGAACGAAGTTGACCCCCATGTCAACACGATAATTTATATTACATTAAAACTTGGGTATATATTGAACTTTACTTATTATTTATCCCCACTTGCTAACTGTCAGCATTTATTCTTATGGTAAAGTAACATATTTAATATAATAGGAGCATACTCGATTTGTAGCCGCTTGATGGCCTTGTAGAGGAGATGCTATAGTTTTCTATTTGGAGTTTGGTAGTGAACTGTCACATGGATTGTTGGATGTGAGGTTTAAACTCCTGGCGCCCACTCACGAACATAACTTTTTCTACGACTCACCCCTTCTTTACTGTAGTTAGTCTGCATCCAACTTTGGATTAATATAAATCCCACCTCAGGTGCTATAGGCAAAGAAAGTAGGTAGCAAACGACCAAAAATAATAACGAAATAACCAAAAATAATAAATATCAACAAATTGCAATTACAAGACACAATAAATGTATGACAACATTGAACTTAAAATGATAGTTCATAAAAAAATACCAACTTTATTATAATCTTAGCTGTCACTATACAATTCAATACTCATAGGCGTAGGAATTAAATGTTAAAGAATTAAAAAATAACAACGTGATTTAACCATAATAAGGATAATTGTACTTGTAATAGTTTATCTTCAGTGCAACTAAATAAGAAAAAGAAGTAAATGAATATTTAATTTTTGTTTCAGGTTTGGATACTAGAAGATATTCACCTTTGCCCAAAGAATCACTATTGTGGAACTCGAATTTGAATACAATCAATTATATAAACTCAAAAAGCATTTTGCACACTTTTCAATGCACGAAATTCCGCCTTGGAAAATGACTATAAGCAAACGAAAAAGTGCAATTAAATTGCCTATAGTCTTTTAGTTTCTGTAATATTCTTTGGGTTTTTATAATTAATCGATGGTGTTCAAAATAGAATTCCACAATAGCGACTCTTTGGGCAGCGGTTAATTTCTCCATAACAAATCTCCCAAGTTTCGAGTTTCCAAATCTGAAACAAAAAGCCTTGCAAATTAGAAGTTATTTTATTTTTAAATTACCTAGTAACTTTTGGAACACCCTGTATGTTTGTTTTTGCAAATATATACCAAATAAGGACTTTTAGGAGTTTTGTGCCTCAGTCAAAAATTTAGGGCAAATAAGAACTACCAAGAAATAAAAATATGCCAAAATTTGTTTTTTTATACAAATGTACTCATACTAAATCAAAATTATGACTTTTGACTTAGTCACGCTTTTTGTTTATGTAAGATGTGCCCTTAGAAACCTAATTAAATAGTCTATATTAGTTAAACATTTTGTTTATTCAAAATGTGCTTAAGGCGAGTTTAACAATAATAAAACGGAATTTTTTTATTTATTTTAGTTATTTAAAATTAATTCTGATGCCTTGGTAGGATTCCCCACTCGACCATTCACTGTTGGGTTCTAATTAACAGTGCTGTTTCTAAAATGGCGCTGGGAAACAGTAACAAAGGCTACACAGAACACGAAGCGAAATAACCTTAGCAGTTGAAGTCGATGACACACACACAAAAAAATAATTTAATTATTTATTTTTCAACAAAATTCTTGATTGCACAACTGAACGAAATGAAAAGATATTTTATATTTCTATTAGAGAAAACAGATTGGTAACTATACGATGTGCTAATTCATCTGTTTTTTCGAGAATACAAACATAATATAGCATTTATAGTCTTTAACATGGATAACGATTTATTGATTCTTTAATAATAGGAGAGTAGAACTTTTAAGTGATCAACCCTGTACTCTTTTCTTATAAATACAAGTGTAGACAGAAGCTTGTTTTGAAATAAAAAACAAACAAATAGCCACACGCAACGATCATTGGAATCGTTAATAAAAACACAGGCAATTTCCTTGTTGAACGGCGTGTCGCAAGTCAAGACTAAAATTTTAATGGAAACTTTGCCATCAATCATCCCCAGCAATTTAAATGACTGGCACAAGCGTTATAGCAAGACCAGCAGCAAGCAGCATCTGAGTGATTTATTGTTATACTTTTTTTTTGTTGAACAAACTGCATTCGCGAATACAAATTGCAACTCTTCCAATTGATTTTCTCAGTTTTCTCTGACAGAAGTCCTGTTGTAATGCAGCGTTTTCTTTTAAAATGTTATTGAAGAAAACTGATAATAGATACCTATATACATATGATAAATAGAGCTAAGGATTTTACTACACAATAACGGTTTGAGGTTAGTACCCTCAAATTTTTTTATATCATTTTTGAATTTTGCATCATATTCTAAATATGATTTATGTACCATGTCCTATACCTAAACTCAACAGTTATATGCATTTATTTTTAAAATTTTGGCGTTTAGACCCTTTTGAAGTTAAGGTCTTCAGTTCGGAAATAGCATATTGTGTCACAATGGCAGAAAATGAGCTTCAGCAGCCCACTGCTATTAGCTGCATGAGCGAGCGAAGAGAAGCGAGGGTAGCTGATAGCTAAGGGCTGCTAAAGCGTTTTCTGCATGTGTGACACACAATTGTTTTTTCGCCTGACAAAAAAAAAGAAAAGGAAAATATAACAAAAATCTTTAATTTTCATTGATGGCTTCCTCTTGCAAGTTTGAATGTTCATGTTCACTAATAGACTACAAAATCGGGCTGATATGATTCATTTTCACATATGGTAGGCGAAAAAAGTTTTATCATTCATTTCACAAAAGAAATAATTTATAAAAACTTCTGCATCACTTGAGAATCCATAACTAATTCGGAGGACCCGTGATATCACCTTTAATAAAATATATATTTGTTTCAGGTAGCGCAGTCAATGACTTGGTCAGGAGACCACATTATCATCATCATGGTGATATTTTCGCTAATACTCACCGGAATGTGCATCACTTTTGTATACAATTGTATCACTAAACTTATTAGGGATCATCGGACAATACAGGTAAGTTGTTCTTAATTGCTGAGTTAATACAAATTTATTAAAAAAATAGTAGGTAGTCCTTTAAAATCTTGATAAAATTATATGTTGTTTATCTAAATGAATAGTTATGATATAGGTACCATTAAATAAGACATTTGCAATTATCAAAATTGCATATGATTTTGTACAACTCTATATTCCTAGTATTTAGAGTTTTAAAAATAATACTTTTAAAAACACATAGAGAATGGAAAATAACGAGCCTCAATTGAGCCTTCTTCGCCCTGAAATATATTTTTAAAAATTTGTTACCTTCAGAATTTAAAAATAATTTTTTGTTGATAAAACACGGAAAATATTACTTTTTCAAGTATCTTAATTTTACATTATTTTAGTCTTTGACTTATATTAGAAATAAATTACAGGACTGTAGTTAGCTAGACTAATAATTTTTTAAATTTATTTTTAAATACCATATATAATAAAAAATTTGAAAATTAAGGATTAAAAATATTGTTTTTACTTAACAAAAATGATTTAATTTTAAACATAACTTACAGTCTGTTCGCTATACTTACGCGGGTTTCGTATTAACAAAATTATGCAAATTAGTCATTGACAACCAGTTCCGATAAGCCTCTTCCCAAGAAATTAGGTAAAATTCCTCTAATGGTCAGGTGTAAATTAAAATAACATTAGGGTAGGTACTAAATTTGTTACAAATATTGCAGTTGAATTGATTCTTTGCAAGTGTTGACATTGTATGTATATTGTAAATACGAATGAAAAAGAAAATGACGGTCCTTTAAAATCGGTAATATCTCTACAACAACGCGTATGCGATGCTCTAGGAATTAGTGAAACCAAATTAAGAGGAGTATTACAAAATCACAAGGGTGGTATGAATAAAAATGAAGTAGATGCTAATGCTACAATTTTAAGGATCTACTACGAAGTTTCTGCTTCATCATGAAGCATCTGATCAGTTCCGGTAGTATTTGCTTAATGTCGAAGTATTTACTACACTGCTTGTAGTATCTACTTTTATTACGTAGTATTTGCTTCAAAATATCTAGCATCTTCCCAGTTTGACTTCTGCTCGAGAATTAGCAGGCTCTGGCAGGTGGTTTCTAAGATTTTTTGTTTTATTTTTATTTGAAGTATTGAAGTGGTTGTGTAAAATGTCATCAGATGAAGAAATGCCCCATCAAGAAGAGTCCCAAAATGAAGACTTACAATTAGCTTTTGTTATAATGCTAGAAGATCGTAAGATAATTCTGGGTAAAAAAATGACACCTGCTATTAAATCTGCAAAAGACAAAGCCCTTAAAGAATTAATGGAGATTTATAACAGCAATACAAAACAAAACTTAGATATTAAACAAGTATTAAAAAGTTAATAATATGAAAAGTAAAATAAAGAAAATTACGGATATGAAGAAAACAGGAAATAAGAAAATAAAATTAAATGAGTGGCAACAAAAGTTTTATGACCTATGGAACGGAATTGAAAATCCAGTAATTCAAAGAGTTCCAGGTATACTTACACGCCTTTTTTTTGTAAATTTATTACAAATACGCAATGTAGTATTATAGTATGTATGTGTGTGTAGTATGTATCTAATATGTGTAGTCTATTATTATACGTAATTTGCAACGTAACACGTTTTTAGGGGGCGTGATTTCAGGTACCAGTAGAGATGAAAATGTAGATCGATTAAGTGATGAAGAGGATGGGACACCTTTTAGTGATGAAAACGAATCGATTAAAAAGTTGCAAAAAAAGTTACTTATTCAACAAATAAATACTGCTATAGCTCAAGAAAGAGCTGCTAAAGTTCAAGAAAGGGCTGCTATAGCTCAGGAAAAAGCTGCTATAGCTGTAGGAAAAGCCGCAGGAGCTGTAGAGCAATTTGTAGAAGATTACTTTGCACAGCAACATTCGAGCATTTAAAATAATACAAAAATAAAAACGAATCTGTGTCGTTTTACTAATTAGTGGTTTTTGTTAAAAGACAATTGAGGTTTACGTTCTATTATTTTATAAATAAGTTTATTAGGTTTAATTATTGTGATATAAGTGTTCATTGAAATATAAAATAAAAACTAACAAAACAATATTTATTAATTTAATGTTTTAACGTTGTCTGTACATCAGTTCTGCAATTTCATTACGAAAAAATGAAAAAATGATCGAAAATGTATACCTTATTTTAAGTTACCGGAATATTTTATGATACAAAACATCATCATTGTAGTGTCTTCTTTCATTGTATATTTTTCTTCTGCGTATTTCATCCATATTCAAATAAAAGTAACTGTACCAATCTCAGAGAAGCTGCTGCTATACCAACTTCGCTAACGTCAAGCAAATACTAAATTTCTTCTTGAAATCGAAGTATCTACTATAAGAAGTCGGTACTTCAAATTGCAGTAAATTCTTTAGTCATTTTCACGAGAGTGCTACTTGGTGTAGTAGGTTCCGGAAAAATTAAAAGTATCTACTTTGAAATAGAGTTCCTTCTTAGTTTTGAAGTATATACTTTGTAGAAAATGCTAATACTTCTAGTATTAGCACGTACTTCGGTTTTATTCATACCACCCAATAGTGAACTGCCGAAAGAAGATCACCGCAAAACTCGCCCATCATTGAAAACGAAAGATATTCCAGATGGAAAGAAATTTGAAATTCGTGATACCATTTATCGAATGAGGGTCAACAAGGAACATGTGACCTTAAATACAATTCTCTCAGAATTAATAGATAGAAAATTTGACGACATTGGCAGAACAAGTCTTTGGCAAGTGATACATAACTTGGATTTCAAATTTCAAAAGGAGGATAACAGAAAGGCCCTTTGTGAAAGAAGTTCTGTCGTGCACAAGAGAATTAACTATCTAAGAAAATATTCTAAATTTAAAGAAGAAGGGGTAAATTTTATATATTTAGACGAAACATGGATATTTTCTAGGGGTGCAACTAAGATAATATGGCAAGATGATAACGTAAAGTCCATCAAACATACCGATGGAGAAGGGAAGCGACACATAATTTTACATGCAGGAGGGAAATCGGGTTTTATAGAAGGTGCTGATTTAATATTTTCATCTAAATCAAAATCCAGTGACTATTACGATAATATGAACACAGAAATGTTTGTAAAATGGTTGCATGAAAAACTTCTCCCAGGTTTAAGTGAGCCCAGCGTAATTATTTTAGACAATGCACCTTACCATTCTGAAGTATTAAACAAAAATCCAACGAATTCTTGGACTGTTGATAAATTTAAAGAATGGTTGACAAAGGAACATATATCATTTCCTCAATATATACAGGGTGGCCACTTTTTTAATGGGATTGTATTAGTAATTTCCAAACCATACTAGTTATAAAGTCGGTTAAATGGACCTGGATATTTTATAACATTATTTGAAATAACTTTTCGTCCTGCATCCAGCGGTGTATTACACAATGGCATTCAATGACGGTTTTTGGGTAATATGGACCGTAATTCAAATTTTATTAAATTTACGCTTGATTTCATCCATCTTTAGTTGAATCAACATGTCATGCCCCGCGATAAAAAAATAAAATCAATTCTTACAAAATTTATGTAATTTTTCGAAAATTAAACAATTCATCAACAACAACAATAGTAATGTAGAAATTTTAAAACGCAATTATTGATAATAACAAATAGAAATTCAGTTTTTGTAAGTTATAATCAAATTATTTGAAAATATCAATAAAATGAATTGAGTAATTATTCAAAATGTCCGCCATCTTCTTCAATACACTCGGCGATTCTGATATTCATATTTCTTATTTCTTCTTTTTGGATATCTTCAAATGCATCTTCAATTATTTCGCGGAGAATCTCAATTCGTCCCCAAAATAAAAATCTAATGGATTCAGATCTAAAGATCTGGCAGCCCACGCCACTGGACCTCTTGTTCCAATCCATGAATTGGGAAAAGTCTGATTCAAATAATCCATGACCATTCTTGAATTGTGTGAACCACATCCATCTTATTGGAATCAGATTTCGTTACTCTAACATGTCCTGCAGTATATCTAAATATTTTTCTGCAGTAAGGTTTCCGTCAATAAAGTATAGTCCCAGTAATTTATTATTTAACAAAGCGCACCACATATTCAAAGAGAAACGATATTGATGTCTCACTTCTTGGATTAGGTGAGGATTTTCCGTGGCATAAAAAAGTTTATTTCTTTGATTAAACATACCAGAATTCATAAATGTTGTTTCGTTTCCCCAAATAATATTGTGTGCATTGTTGTTATTAACCTTCTGTTTAAACCAATTACAAAATCGAAAGAAAAATCGAAAGAAAAATCGAAAGAAAAATCGAAAGAAAAATCGAAAGAAAAATCGAAAGAAAAATCGAAAGAAAAATCGAAAGAAAAATCGAAAGAAAAATCGAAAGAAAAATCGAACGAAAAATCGAAAGAAAAATCGAAAGAAAAATCGAAAGAAAAATCGAAAGAAAAATCGAAAGAAAAATCGAAAGAAAAATCGAAAGAAAAATCGAAAGATAAAATCGAAAGAAAAATCGAAAGAAAAATCGAAAGAAAAATCTAAAGAAAAATCTAAAGAAAAATCTAAAGAAAAATCGAAAGAAAAATCGAAAGAAAAATCGAAAGAAAAATCGAAAGATAAAATCGAAAGAAAAATCGAAAGAAAAATCGAAAGAAAAATCGAAAGAAAAATCTAAAGAAAAATAGAAAGAAAAATCTAAAGAAAAATCGAAAGAAAAATCGAAAAATCAAAAAATTGAAAAATCGAAAAATCGAAAAATCGAAAAATCGAAAAATCGAAAAATCGAAAAATCGAAAAATCGAAAAATCGAAAAATCGAAAAATCGAAAAATCGAAAAATCGAAAAATCGAAAAATCGAAAAATCGAAAAATCGAAAAATCGAAAAATCGAAAAATCGAAAAATCGAAAAATCGAAAAATCGAAAAATCGAAAAATCGAAAAATCGAAAAATCGAAAAATCGA